GCAGACGCTACACTGAAGAAGATGACTTCTTCTCTCCGGTCCCCAGCTCCAGAGTCTGTTCTTGAATCCGTTCCAGAGTGTCAGCCCAGTCCTGAGACTGCTAAAGCCTCAATCCTCCATATAACCTCAGCTTCAATCCTCTTCAGCCCAGTGTCGGCTCCAGCTCCTGAGTACAGCCCATTGATGGCTCCAGCCTCGGAGTACAGCCCAGTAATGGCTCCAGCCCCCAAGTACAGCCCAGTGATGGCTCCAGCCCCTGAGTACAGCCCAGTGATGGCCCCAGCCCCTGAGTACAGCCCAGTGATAGCTCCAGCCCCTGAGAACAGCCCAGTGATGGCTCCAGCCCCTTTGAACAGCTCAGTAATGGCTCCAGCCCTAGAGTTCAGCCCAGAGATGGCTCCAGCCCCTGTCCAGAGTTTAGTGATGGCTCCAGCCGCTGAGAACAGCTCAGTAATGGCTCCAGCCCCTTTGAACAGCTCCGTAATGGCTCCAGCCCTAGAGCTCAGCCCAGAGATGGCTCCAGTCCCTGAGTGCAGCCCAGTGATGGCTCCAGCCCCTGACCAGAGTTCAGTGATGGCTCCAGCCCCTGAGTATTTCCCAGTGTCAGCTCCAGCCCCTGAGTACACCAGAGATGGCTCCAGTCCCTGAGTGCAGCCCAGTGATGGCTCCAGCCCCTGACCAGAGTTCAGTGATGGCTCCAGCCCCTGAGTATTTCCCAGTGTCGGCTCCAGCCCCTGAGTACAACCCAGTGATGGCTCTAGCCCCTGAGACCAGCCCAGTGTCGGCTTCAGCCCCCGAGTACAGCCCAGTGATGGCTCCAGCCCCCACGAGTACAGCCCAGTGATGGCTCCAGCCCCCCCGAGTACAGCCCAGTGATGGCTCTAGCCCTAGAGCTCAGCCCAGAGATGGCTCCAGTCCCTGAGTGCAGCCCAGTGATGGCTCCAGCCCCTGACCAGAGTTCAGTGATGGCTCCAGCCCCTGAGTATTTCCCAGTGTCGGCTCCAGCCCCTGAGTACAACCCAGTGATGGCTCTAGCCCCTGAGACCAGCCCAGTGATGGCTCCAGCCCTTGAGTACAGCCCAGTGTCGGCTCCAGCCCCTGAGTACAGCCCAGTGATGGCTCCAGCCCCCCGAGTACAGCCCAGTGATGGCTCTAGCCCGAGTACAGCTCAGTGATGGCTCCAGCCCGAGTACAGCTCAGTGATGGCTCCAGCCCCTGAGAACAGCCCAGAGATGGCTCCAGCCCCTGAGTACAGGCCAGAGATGGCTCCAGCCCCAGAGTACAGCCCAGTGCTGGCTCCAGCCCCAGAGCACAGCCCAGTGATGGCTTCAGCCCATGAGAACAGCCCAGTGATGACTCCAGCCCCAGAGTACAGCCCAGTGCTGGCTCCAGCCCCAGAGCACAGCCCAGTGATGGCTTCAGCCCATGAGAACAGCCCAGTGATGACTCCAGCCCCAGAGTACAGCCCAGTGCTGGCTCCAGCCCCAGAGCACAGCCCAGTGATGGCTTCAGCCCATGAGAACAGCCCAGTGATGACTCCAGCCCCAGAGTACAGCCCAGTGCTGGCTCCAGCCCCAGAGCACAGCCCAGTGATGGCTTCAGCCCATGAGAACAGCCCAGTGATGACTCCAGCCCCAGAGTACAGCCCAGTGCTGGCTCCAGCCCCAGAGCACAGCCCAGTGATGGCTCCAGCCCTAGAGTTCAGCCCAGTCATGGCTCCATCCCCTGACCAGAGTTCAGTGATGGCTCCAGAGTACAGCCCAGTGATGGCTTTAGCCCCAGAGTATAGCCCAGTGTCGGCTCCAGCCCCTGAGTACAGCCCAGTGATGGCTCCAGCCCTAGAGTACAGCCCAGTGATGGCCCCAGCCCCTGAGTACAGCCCAGTGATGGCTCCAGCCCCTGAGTACAGCCCAGTGATGGCTCCAGCCACTGAGTACAGCCCAGTCCGGAGCCCCGCCGAGTCTAGCACCTAGCCCATAGCCACGCTACTGCGATAGCTCCAGAGTACAGCCCAGTGATGGCTCCAGCCCCTGAGAACAGCCCAGTGATGTCTCCCGCCCCTGAGAACAGCCCAGAGATGGCTCCAGCCCCTGAGTACAGCTCAGTAATGGCTCCAGCCCTAGAGTTCAGCCCAGTCATGGCTCCATCCCCTGACCAGAGTTCCGTGATGGCTCCAGAGTACAGCCCAGTGATGGCTCCAGCCCTAGAGTTCAGCCCAGTCATGGCTCCATCCCCTGACCAGAGTTCCGTGATGGCTCCAGAGTACAGCCCAGTGATGGCTCCAGCCCTAGAGTTCAGCCCAGTCATGGCTCCATCCCCTGACCAGAGTTCCGTGATGGCTCCAGAGTACAGCCCAGTGATGGCTCCAGCCCTAGAGTTCAGCCCAGTCATGGCTCCATCCCCTGACCAGAGTTCAGTGATGGCTCCAGAATACAGCCCAGTGATGGATCCAGCCCTAGTGTTCAGCCCAGTCATGGCTCCGGCCCCTGACCAGAATTCAGTGATGGCTCTAAAGTACAGTCCAGTGATGGCTCCAGTCCCTGAGCTATGCCCAGTCAGCTATGCTCTCCATAATGGCTCTGGCAATAATGTGTATTTGACCCACACACATTCCCACAACTCTCGCCCTAGAGCTCAGCCTAGAGTCTGCACCAGCCCAAGAACTCAGCCCAGTGCTCTATCTTGTTCCAAAGCTCAGCCCAGTGCCCGATCTCATCCCTGAGCCCAGTAACATTTTGAACAAAGTTGAGTACGGTAAGATTTTGAGTTTGTTTAAAGTTTGTTTCTGATCAGTTTTCATGTCTTTTCTTATTTAAAGTTCGGGAATTATGTGATTAAATTATTTGAATTATTCCGAATTATTTTAATATGTTGCCACTAGTTTCTGTACACAAAAAAAGTTTGAAATGAGCTGAAACTTCCAGAACTTTGGAATTTTAATATTTTAATATATTGCCACTCCTACCGTCTGTAAATAAAAAGTTAGAAAATTAGCTGCTTTGTCATCACAGCAGAAATATCAGAAATATCTCTGAATATAATTTTTGACAATGAATGGCCTTAGAGTCAAAAAGGTTGAGATACACTGTACTAACAGTGACATCAGCAGGCTTTTCCCTTGTTAAAAATCCCAGCATTTGGTCCTTATTTTGCTTTAATGACAACACAAACAGGCTGGTATGATCAGTGTAAGTTTGTGCATATCCAATGATCCTGTTCTCCAGCAGAGTAGATTTCAGTACTTAAAAACTGTAGTCCGTCACAGATTACAAATTACATGATGAAAACTTTAGGCTAGTTAGTTACATAATCTTGGTTACTCATTTTAGGTAATGTATTCTGACTACTTTTTTATCAAATTTGTTTTAAACTTACCATTAACGTACCATATTGATATAAAAAAATAATTATATATTTATATCAACATCATAAAATGCATTAAACATTACATTACACCAGGGTTTCCTAAACTGGGCTTAATGTAAAAACTGCAGTGGGTTTGTGAGTTGATAAAAAGTTAATAATTAGTCAAATAAAAAAAAAATTAAATAATAATAATTTAAACACTAAAAATATAAATATTTTATTTGTTCATCTGCAAGTCAATGTGACCGTTAACCAACATCAGAGAACTGCAAACATGCAAATGTATTGTTAAATTACTGAAATATTAACTTTTCTGAGTTATTTCAAGTAAATATTTTATTTTAAGGGACCTGTCTGACAAAAACATTTGGGAATCCCTGCATTATATGAACAAAAATTAATAAACATGAAAACAACAATGACATTACACGCCCAAAGTCTTCCAGGTTTGAAATATTTTTTTGTTTAGACTTCCAGAATCAACAGTTACAGCATGAGCTGCTGTATCTTGGCACCCAGCCCCGTTCTGCTTTTCTTCTTACTAGATATTCATAAAGACTGTTATTATACATCATCATGTGCGTCTCATGAACAGCAGCCCTCCCAAGCTCTGATGATACGCTTCTGAACTGCAATTGCTCCTGATGTACTTCAGTGAAAACAACATCCACACTGCCTGAAGATTCCTGCTGTAGCTAGTCTTTAATCAGAGATGAAATATGCCAGAAATTAAACATCCCCTTCATACTCTTCAAACAGTGCCACTTTTGAGCTTTCCTTCCACAGGATGTGCCGCTTGGCTCTACTGGAGCTGGTTGTCTTGATACACACCCTATCTGTCCTGATCAGTTCAGGGTGTTTGTGATGCAAATCTACGCATTTTTAACAGAATCCACAAAATGTAATAAGCCTAGTTTGCGGTTTATGGCAGTAATCCGAATTTGAACTAAATTGAGTGATGACACTATTGTCTTAAGCGCTGCTTTACAGCTGAAATTGAATTAGTTTCATAATTTGACATTGTTATTTTACAATACAACATATACAACATTAACATTGTTAGTTTCCTGTTTATTTATGCGAAGCTGCATTGAAACAATCTGTATTGTTTAAAGAACTATATTAAAAAAGTATGACTTGACTTGATCCCAAATTCAATGAACTACAACAACACACTCTTTAAGGCAAGACACTACCTGAGAATAGGGTAAAAACTTTAATACAATATCACCATAATTCACCCCAGTTGTTTAATCACAGTACATCAAGACAGGCTTCTGAAAAATTAGTTATGTTTATATACACTGCAAAAAGAGGTCACCTGCAATTGTTACTTTAAATAGCTATTTCTACATGATTTAACCCATATAGACTTGTTTTGGTGGTATAAATTATTGTATAAGTTGATTCAGCAATATAATAATACAGTAATATATAATTATATAATAAATAATATTTTTGACTTAAACCAGTTAATGTAGCTGTTACCATTATTATGTTGCCAGTTTTTCAGTGTATGCAAATGAGACTAAATATGCACTCATTTGCAAATATATCCAAAACAGAAATCTTCAACACTGGATATATTTTGTTGACATATTAGAGAGGGTTATTATTACAGAGGGCATTTTGGGTTTCTCTTGTTACCACTCCACAAATCAGAAAATACTGTCAGAATCATATTGAAGGCTGAAAAAAGCACCATGTTTTTATGAATACAGTGTTACATAAATAAACACTGTTATGTAAACAAACCCCTCTGTAAAGCCCTTCAGAATATAGATAGGAATGAAAATTTCAGTCAAAGTTTCCAGCGCTGCTGAAGTGGAGATTTCTGACTCATTTTGAGAAAGCAGCCATTAAAGACATGTATTCTAGTTGAAATCTACAGATGCAAATAGATCAATTGTAATTAAACACTTAAATGTGTATCTTGGATGTTTTCTTTCCACCAGTCTAAAATATGGAAGCAAAAATCCTGACCAGTGCATTAAAATACAATGGTTTTGCCTGTAGTATCTTGCCTTAAATGAACAGACACTCTTCCTGTGTCCTTCTACAAAACCCAGAGGCCAAGCCTGCCATATTTCCTCAATGCAAACTGCTTATTGGTGCTCCGATACTGACCTGAGCTGCACTCCTTGCTGCAGGCAGACCAGGAGCCGTAGCTCCAGTAATATCCCTCCATTGAGCGTTCATTCGGCAGATAATACTCATACTCCACTCCCTCATTGTCCTCTTGAGTGATGACCTGTAGATAAACAGACACTGATGGTCATAGTGTTCTGTGTGAAATATGTCTCAAACAGGTGAAGGCACACAGTAAGTTTTTGTTTACATTTTGCAGGCTCTTCTTCATTGCAGTGGTCTGGGATTTTACAGATACTGATTTGTTTTGTTCCTTTTTGGGCCAGTTTACACCTGGTTACTTCACGCGTTTTCTCTGATCGGAAAACAATTTGATTTGTTAAAGCAGTTCCATTTACAACTGGCCACATAAATTTGTCTCCGCTAAAACGGATATAAATCTGATCTTCAGTTCACAGGCTATACTGTATGCAAATTTAATGGAGTTCACGTCAACAAAAGCAAAAGATATGCACTGCATTTTATTCATCATCAGCTAATTTCAAGATGAAAGACGGCATCAGCACTGGAAAGATAAGTAACTTAATGAATATGATTGTGTGTTGAGCGTCTACAACTTAGCTTCAGTTTCATTTGTGGCAATTTCTGCGTTGATTTGCTGAAGAGCTTCTCAGCTACTCATCTGCAGCAGTGCGTGTTGCATTAGTGCAGTCATATCTAGCTATGACACGTCATATAGCCTATAACACACTCTCACATGTTTATTATTTTAACATTTTGGGAGAAGTAAAAGTTACATTTGTGGTTTCAACAACCAGATGCATTTACACTTGTCCAGTTTTGTCTAGAATGCAATCCTCCTGAAGTGGTTTGAGCGATCAGATTTCAATCCATCTCGAAAGCATTTTGGAGGGCTCATGTGGAGCCAGACACTCTGAGATGCTAAAAAACACCACTGGATCATGAGCCGCTCACGTGTAAATGAACACAGTGCCATGCTTCACTCTGAAACATGCAGCTCATATATTTATTCGATTACATCAGAGCATTTACTATTGGATGACTGCACAAGCCATATCCCACTTTCGGTTTTATTTTGATTAATTGTGAATTCTACATCCAACATTAATTAACACACTTAGTTTCAGTTTCATTTGTGGCAATTTCTGCGTTGATTTGCTGAAGAGCTTCTCAGCTACTCATCTGCAGCAGTGCGTGTTGCATTAGTGCAGTCATATCTAGCTATGACACGTCATATAGCCTATAACACGCTCTCACATGTTTATTATTTTAACATTTTGGGAGAAGTAAAAGTTACATTTGTGTTTTCAACAACCAGATGCATTTACACTTGTCCAGTTTTGTCTAGAATGCAATCCTCCTGAAGTGGTTTGAGCGATCAGATTTCAATCCGTCTCGAAAGCATTTTGGAGGGCTCATGTGGAGCCAGACACTCTGAGATGCTAAAAAACACCACTGGATCATGAGCCGCTCACGTGTAAATGAACACAGTGCCATGCTTCACTCTGAAACATGCAGCTCATATATTTATTCGATTACATCAGAGCATTTACTATTGGATGACTGCACAAGCCATATCCCACTTTCGGTTTTATTTTGATTAATTGTGAATTCTACATCCAATATTAATTAACACACAAATCTATTAGGAAACCTTAAACGGGCTCTCACCTCTATCACTAGAGGCTCAGTGGTGGGGCCGCGGCCTGTGATTATCTCAGGAGTTTTTTCACCCTCGGTTCCCCTCTGGTAATACAGCACAGTGCCAGCAATAGGTGTGGCACGAGAGAAATCGATCACCCAATGTCCGTTAAGGTAGTACTCACCACGCAGGTTTTTGATTGCTGTCAGAGGAAAAATGCAAGGATAAAAAGGTCAATGATGCTGATGAATAGATTAGGATTAGGATCTTCGGGGGAGGCACAGCTTCCACAAAATGTTGAGGTGAAAATGGGAGGAGGACGATTTTATGTTAATAACATTCACAGTTCATGTCTTAGCCAATCACCATCGAGTGTTCACTTTCAGCGCTGAGGAGTGTTGAGAAAAGAAACCTCGCAGGGGAGGCTAGCCTTCCTTCTGGTATATCAGCCAATCATCATAGAGATGTAAATTACATAATATTAGTTTGAACGTCTCCCGCTGCATTGATAATGTACGATGTACTTATGATGAGTAGCGATATTGAATATTTGATCTGGGGCCGCGGCCTGTGATTATCTCAGGAGTTTTTTCACCCTCGGTTCCCCTCTGGTAATACAGCACAGTGCCAGCAATAGGTGTGGCACGAGAGAAATCGATCACCCAATGTCCGTTAAGGTAGTACTCACCACGCAGGTTTTTGATTGCTGTCAGAGGAAAAATGCAAGGATAAAAAGGTCAATGATGCTGATCAATAGATTAGGATTAGGATCTTACTCACATACAGTGGCGGCTCGTCGGGGGAGGCACAGCTTCCACAAAATGTTGAGGTGAAAATGGGAGGAGGACGATTTTATGTTAATAACATTCACAGTTCATGTCTTAGCCAATCACCATCGAGTGTTCACTTTCAGCGCTGAGGAGTGTTGAGAAAAGAAACCTCGCAGGGGAGGCTAGCCTTCCTTCTGGTATATCAGCCAATCATCATAGAGATGTAAATTACATAATATTAGTTTGAACGTCTCCCGCTGCATTGATAATGTACGATGTACTTATGATGAGTAGCGATATTGAATATTTGATCACCAACAGATTTACCAAGCTGTCATTCAAACAGTATATGTGACCCTGGACCACAAACCAGTCATAAGGGTCCATTTTTTGAAATTGAGATTTATACATCTGAAAGCTTTCCATTGATGTATGGTTTGATAGGATGGAACAGTATTTGGCCGAAACTATTTGAAAATCTTGAAAGTTGTCCAAATGAAGTTCTTAGCAATGCATATTACTAATCAAAAATTAAGTTTTGATATATTTACAGTAGAAAATTTACAAAATATCTTAATGGAACATGATCTTTACTTAATATTCTAATGATTTTTGTCATAAAAGAAAAATCGATAATTTTGACCCATACAATGTATTTTTGGCTATTGCTACAAATATACCCCAGCGACTTAACACTGCTTTTGTGCTCCAGGGTCACATAAATACAAATGAAAAATAAAGGGAGAACATGCCTAAGCTGGATATAGGCTACAGCAGTCGGCTTAATTAAACGGCACAAAATACTTTTAAGAAGGGATGGATGTTTGCTTCAAGTGATAGGCCAGGTAAGTGAAATTATATTATCTTGCTGTATTTGTGTCATTTTCTTTGTGTTTTCTGACTAAAAGCAACCAAAACGCCATTTAAAGTGGTTAAGCAAATAATAATAATTGGCAGGGGTCCCCAGACCAATACAATTAGTGCCTCCTCTATTTGAAACCCCACGAGCCGCCACTGCTCACATAAACTCACCAAGGTAATTGCGCGTTGGCACTGTTTCCTTGATGCGTATAGTGGTCGCCCCGACAGGGATGATGAACATCTGATTGTAACCTGTAAGCAAGAGATAAAACAATTTTTTCAGGCACAGGAACATACATACAGTATAACATATAAATGCGGTTATATCTTGGGCGAGTTTACCTTTGGGCAGGTTTCGCATTGAGAAACTGTTTTTGGCTAGACTGCATGACTGTCCGTTTCCTCCACACTGTAGACAGGGATCCTCCTCCTGGAGCGACTCCAGCATGTTATCACAGCCGAGACGCTGTGAGCAGACAAAGAACAGAAACAGCGCTGTAGTTCTCTAAACACCCTACACAGTCAAGGTAAAACACAGGGACTGAGGCTGCGCGATTTAACAAAGATGCTATTGTTAAACTCCACACTGTGAGATTCTTAATGTCTACTGAGAAATCTCAAACAGCCAATTAAAGGCTCTTATGCCTTTTTAAACAACAAAAAAGAAAGTCTTCCTACTTTTAAAGGGGTCATATAATGCGATTTCAAGTTTTCCTTTCTCTTTTTATTACACAAAAAAATGTTCTTTTTAGCAACATCATATGACCCCTTTAAAATGTCAAATTTAAAGCAATTGTGTATATGCTGATTATTCTGAGTAGACCTCATTAATAAACCAAGAACAAATGACTAAACGTTAAAATGAATTCCAAGAATGTAAAGCACTTAGGCATGAATAATATTTACTAAACCACAGCAGGCAAGACAGCACCTGCACTAGGGATGTGCAAAACTGCATATTTCCATAATTGACTAATCAGTCTGGATGATAGGCGGTTTTAAAGATTTTTTAAAGATGTCATAATTTTCTCACTCTTCATGTTTCATGACATTTGATGTGCTCTGTGTATGTGTGCTGATTTAAGTTTATATGTGAATCAGTGTTATTTTAGTATCAACTGAGAGACTATTATATTTTTTATTTTTATATTTTAATTTTTGTATTTTTTGTCATTTTTATTAATAATATTATAAATTGTCATTAATTTGAACCTAAATGAAAAATGTTGCCTTGGCAATTAGATGAAATAAAATATGTTTATTTATTTATTTTTTTAGTTCATGTTTATTTTTTAAATTTTTTGTAGTTCTAGTTAACGTTAATGACCCTGATGTGAGTCAAAGCCCAAATTAAATATTTCATGAAATTAAGCAATTACTTTCACAATCTCTTTATGAACTTTTTAAAGCATCAAAGTTTTGATTGTATGGACTTTCAATGGAGGGACAGAAATCGCTCAGGTTTCATTAAAAATATCTTCCATTTGTGTTCTGAAGATGAACAAAAGTCTGGGTTTGGAACAACATCGAATAAACGGTGACAGGAGTTTCTTTTTTGGGTGAACTATCCCTTTAAGAAAGACCACCATAATAGGGCTGGTCATTTCCGATTAGACTCCTTTTTTATAGGGGGCTCACAAAAACTGAGAACTTTGGATTGAGCACTCTAACAGGAACAAAGCAGATGAATTGAGGTCTGCCAGTACCTGTTCTGAAACTTGTTCCTGTGGGCAGGGGATTTGTTACACAGGCAGTGTTTTGATGGCTTTAGCAGCGGTGCAGTAATGGGGAATGAATTTAGAAACCACTCAAAGAGAATTTACCAAGAGTGGTTCCGTCTCTAAATTCATCTGCTTTGAAGAAGAAAGAAAATCTAAAGATAAAATAAAATGTAGATACACTACTGGGGTTCAGTTATCCACTAGTTGACTGGTCGACCGTCTGGTCGAAATGAGCAACTCTTTCAAAAACTATATGAGGTTTATTCCACACTCAGGTAAGTTGGTTTAAATAAGTGTAGATGACTGAAGTGGACTGTTGCGCTAACCTTACAGAGCCCGTCTACACAGATGTCCTTTCTTCCGGGATGGCAGGGTGTGCCATCCACCACCGCAGACTTGTGCCGAAAGAAGAAGTTCTCTCCTCTGGGAATGCAGCTGAGCTCACAGGGGTTTTCTCCTGAACAGAAGAGAGAAGATACAGCATAACATTGGCACTGTCACCTGCACAGAATTTCTCTAGTATACCATGCTACATTTTTCATTTTGAGGTGAATCAGCCCTGCCACACAGTATCACTTCCTGTCTGTACATACCACCATAGTATGGCAGCCATTTGTAGCGCTTTCCTTGAAAATCAGTGCCATCAAACTGAGAGCACTGCTCCTCTCTGAAATCCCTGGATCCCTCTGGACAGTCCTGATAGCTCAGACAAAAAGAAGGTTTGGGGTCAGAAAATGTATATTTTTATTCAGCAGGGAACATTTATAATGTTACAAAAAGTTTCAGGGGGGGGGGGGTATCACAGTTTCCACAAAAATATTGGGCAGCACAACAGTTTTCAACAGTGATAATAATCAGAAATGTTTCTTGAGCAGCAAATCAGCATATTAGAATGATTTCTGAAGATCATGTGACACTGAAGACTGGAGTAATGATGCTGAAAATTCAGCTGCGCGTCACAGATATAAATTACAGTTTAACAGATATTCACATAGAAAACAGCTATTTTTAAATCACAGTCGTTTTTCACAATATTACTGTTTTTTACTGTCTTAGTGAGCAGAAGAGACTTCTTTCAAAAACATTTATGACCACAAACTTTTGAATGATAATGTAGATATGAATAATGTCAAAGCAAAATACAATATACAATGCCCAAAAGCAATGCACTTTAGTATGGTACTAATTGATTAGATATAAAATGTAATTTCTAACATGCACATGGATCAGGTTTCTAGTGCATACCTGGATATTACACGAGCGATAGGACTTCTCTGGACCCACACAGCTATGCCCTCCATCAGTTCTGTAGAAAGAGGACACATGAACCAAAGGTGAGATTTTACTAGGATGTTTTCACAAAACACAGTATTGCAAGGCAATCTAGTAAAACCAATATTCATATTTGCAGTTGACAATGTTTTTAACATGCTTCTTTTTTAAATCTGAGAAATACTCAACTCAGTGTTGTTGTGTAACATTACTGTAATGTAGCATGGTAACTAGCAATTGCCAAACATATTTTGCATTATGCAAACGTGAATTCAATTATGCACGTGGTGTTCAAGAGTTGCGGCATACACACATAAGACAAAATTCAATGCAATTCACATTTATTTGTATAGCACTTTTCACAATGCAACACAAGATTATTTTAAATGTCTCTTAGAGCCCACAAAAAAAAGTTTGAAAACACCTTAAAATCAAGTGTCTCACATTACAGACATGTCTAAGGATGCATACAAATGCACACCCTTGCAAAAAAAACACACCCACGCAGACACACAAAAGCACAGAGATCATAACAAGTGTTCTCTGCTTATAGGTGTGTACCGAGACACAACAAGTTCCGCACTACTTCATACATTTACTCGTCTGGTTCAAATGCGTCATCCCGTTCTCCTGTCCTCATACATCAGTAACATCAATAATGAACGGATACAGCTGCGTGGAGTTTCCAGTATTTCTAAATGTTATGTCAGCACATGACAGACGGTAATATTGCGAGGTAAAAGTCAGGGAGCGGTGTGTGATTCACCCGGCGAGACAAAAAGACGCAGGAGTGCACAGGTACGAACACTCGCACCAAGCTGGAAGAGAGATGTCTGAAAGTCCCAGAAACATCGCCTCAGGGGAACGTTCTAGTCTTGAGCGAGAAGTGTATTCAGAAGCTCAAATTTCTCACATGTTATTGAGTTCACTTGTAAAACTCGGTTTCTGGGAAGTTCTGACACACATGCAGCTTTATGTTTCCCAATGCATCGTGCATGCACAATAACATGGTTATTTCATGCAAACAAAGACAGAAGACATTCCAACTGGTAGGAGTACTCTATGAATACATTTTCTTATGGGAAAGTATTATTTAACTTAATTTGGGCTAGGCAAATCATTTAAAGAGGAGTGGTACATTTATAGAAAATCTGCCTCGTTTTCATACGGCGCCGTTCACTGAGTAAAATGCAAGACTAAACACGCAGACCAGATTCCAACACCCAGATTTATGACCAAAGCTCTCAATGTCCTGGTGAAGACTTTCCCCAGCCAAGTCCCTATCACTGAAACTCACAATTACACAATGCACCAGGTTCCTCTTATGAACTTGACCTTGCATACTTGACTAAATCAGTGCGTGTGTGTGACAAAAGAAACATTGCATATTACTTCTGTAAGATGAACAGAATAGAGCCCGACCGATATATCGTGTGCCGATATTATCGGGCGATATGAGCCTGTCCCCCCCCCCCGTTACGTTGTGCATAGTGCTCCCCTATATTATATTATGTCACACTTCACACTTTTCTAGTAAGTTTCGTCTGTGTGTGAAGACAGTAGCGCAAATCTGTGCATGAATGTTCTGAAGTGAAATAAACTTCAACGGAATAAAGTTGGATGGAATTGAATTGAATAAACTTCGACTTTACTGTTCAGTGAACTGATGTCAGACTCATTTTGGATAGTAAAGTTTATTGTTAAATTGTTAAAATGCCCTTACATATCTCTGTCACCATTATAAGTGTTTGATCACCACATTTGAGTGATCATTGCAAAAAATGCGTTTATGTATATACTGTATTCGATATAGTACCAGTCAAATGTTTGGACACACGAATGGGAAAGTGTCCAAACCTTTGATCGGTACTGTACTATAATATACACAAAGAATATCTGCCTTTTTTTTACCCCCTAATATCGGTATCGGCCCCAAAAAACCCATATCGGTCGGGCTCTAGAACAGATGATGCACTTTTAAAAATAAAGGTTCCAAAAGGGGGTTTGCAGTGATGCCATACAAGAACCATTGTCGGTTCCTCAAATAACCTTTCAGTAATCAGTTCTTAAAAGAACCATTTTTTTTTCTTAGTGTGAAGAACATTTTTAAATTCTCACTATGACGAACCGACGGAAAGTTTTCATGGATGGTAAAGGTTCTGCATGGAACAAAATAATCTTTCTACTTTTCACATTTTTACTAGTACTGTCAAACGATTAATTGCGATTAATCGTATCCAAAATAAAAGTTTGTATTATTTACATAATGTATCTGTGTGTACTGTGTATATAAATACACACATACAGTATATATTTTGAAAATATTGACATGTATATGTTTATATTCATATAATTTATATTATATAATATATAAACTTAACATTTTTCTAAAATATATACATGCATGTGTGTGTATTTATATATACATAATAAATGTACACAGTACACACACATATACTATGTAAACAAAATCTTTTATTTTGGATGCGATTAATCGCGATTAATTATTTGACAGCACTGATTTTTACATAATTTCCCTTGCCGTTTCTTAGTGAAATTTACTAGCAATTCCTATTTGAAAATAGTTTCTACATCATTTTTTTCCAGTGTAGATGCCAATACAGAACCTTTATTTTTAAGATTGTAAATAATATCTTAAGGACAGGAATAAAGAATAGGGACTCTTTAACTGAACACCTGGAGGCCAGGCATGTTTCTAAAAAGCCAAAAGATGTAAACAAGGACGATGACTTGTGCTTTCAATCGTGGGCTCTTCCCCACACTGAATAACGACACAGCTGCCTTGACTAGGTTCACGTCTCAGTTTATGGTCTTCTTTTCAACTGGATATTCTCCCTTCAGCTACAGAAGAATAACTCACTCTCCTGTGCATTCAAAGCACTATTCGAGATCTCGTTTTCAGCTCTGATGAACCCCTTGACATCTGTTTCATCCCTGAACTAACTCAAGTTAACTCATCAAAGGCCACTGGATGACATTAGAATGACAGTAAATAAAAGAGTCTCTCGATGACATGAGGCTGTGAAAGTGATGACAGTCGGCGACTCACCGCTGGGTTACACATCGTCTCGTCCTCATAGTAACCCCACCGCCACAGCTGCGACTGCATTCGCCATACGGGCCCCACTCATCCCAGAAATCACCAGTGGGTTGCTATAAACACGGTCAGCAAGTTAGCAAATCATCAGTTTTGATCAAATCACATACTGCAGGGATCCTCAAATCTGGCCCACGAGATCCACTTTCCTGCAGAGTTTAGCTCTAACCCTAATCAAACACACCTGAGCAAGCTAATCAATGTCTTCAGGATCATTAGAAAATCACAGGTAGGCGAGTTTGATCAGGGTTGGAGCTAAACTCTGCAGCGCATTGGCCCTCCACACTCTTAAAAATAAAGGTGCTTCAAAAGGTTCTTGAAGCGATGCCATAGAAGAACCATTTTTAGTTCCACAAAGAACCACTTAGTCAAAGGTTCTTTAAAGAACCATCTCTTTCTTACCTTTTTGTAATCTGAAGAACCTTCTTTTGCCACAAAGAACCTTTTGTGAAACAGAAAGGTTCTTCAGATGTTATAAGTTCTTTATGGAACCATTTAGACAAAAAGGTTATTCTATGGCATCGTGAAGCACCATTCTTTTTAAGAGTCCAGGGCAAGATTTGAGGAACCCTGACATACTGTATGACGTTAGTGAAAGTCATGAGGAAATGTAAGCTGCGACAGATATTTTCTGCCACATTATGATATACATTCTAAATCAGGGCTGTCCAAACTCGGTCCTGGAGGGCCGGTGTCCTGCAGAGTTTAGCTCCAACCCTAATTAAACACGCCTGAACCAGCTAATCAAGCTCTTACTAGGCATAGAAACTTCCAGTCAGGTGTGTTGAGGCAAGTTGGAGCTAAACTCTGCAGGACACCGGCCCTCCTGTTCTAAATGATTATCTGAAAAATAAAAAAAATGCAAGGCAGGACTTGGTTCAGTGCAGCGGTTGCTGATTGGATGTTGAGATGTGGGCGTGGCTCTCAAAAGTGGAGGTGAGCTTGCAGGGGCGGAGTTTACGAAAATGATCAGAAAAGTCCTGCTAAATGATCGGAGAAGACCTGCATATGTCACCGGAGAGAAATCTGTCGTTTTCACTGGAAGGTCCAGTTATGGCATTTAAAAAAAAGAAACAAACATGGATGAAACATTAACAATAATTCACACTACATCAAGCATTTGCCAAATAGAAAAGGTGAATTTTCGTGTCATGCCGACTGCAAGCTTTAATCACTCTGTGGTATTTCAAGATAACTGAAATATTGTGCTCGTATCAATTACATTTTATTAATGCGCAACATCTCTGGAATGCTTGATTTTGATTGGTCAATCTTGGTATTCTGTGGTTTTCGAATGATGATGCTAAACTGTATAACTAACTGGATGAACTGATTTTCTACATAGCTGCCATAAATGTTGCCATAAGTGTCACTCCACACCATTTCTTCTCGCATGAAAAACAAATCCAACTCAATTAAATAATCATTTTTCGTGAGTGTCCATTCACTGATTTGGCAAGTAGCTGTGTGATTATGTTGTTAATGTGATGAAGTACAACTGTAGTTCCTCTGCTAAAAAACTTTACTTTCACTCTCAGTTTAGTGCAGATCGCACTTGAAGATATTTGGAAACATCCAAACACTTAATCTGAAAGTCAATGTATAGGATTTTCTGAATGCAGCACTAATACAACGACATTCAGACAGTTATAAAGTTGCAATGAAATAAACATTTTATTTACTCAACACATTTTCTTATGTGTTAACAATTCATCCATGTACATGTTTCATGTTTTCATTTTTATTTAACCTATGCAGCCAGGATTTCTCCCATTAATTTAGTGAGATTAAACTGAGAGTCACTCCCACATCTCAACATCCAATCAACTGATGCATAGAAAGTCCCGCCCCCCCACACTCAGATGTACATCACAATACAGAAGAAAAAATCTAATTCATTGCGACTTTAAGTGTGACTAAATGTCACCAAATATTTCGAGGGCCACTATTCTATTTTAATATTACATATGTTCCTGAACAAACAGCTCAGTACTTCTGTACTATGTTTCTGAGTATATGAAATGTGGCCAGCATTTAGATATCAATTTGAAAGCATTAGTGAGATTAAACTGAGAGTCACGCCCACATCTCAACATCCAATCAACTGATGCATAGAAAGTCCCGCCCCCCACACTCAGATGTACATCACAATACAGAAGAAAAAATCTATTTCATTGCGACTTTAAGTGTGACTAAATGTCACCAAATATTTCGAGGGCCACTATTCTATTTTAATATTACATATGTTCCTGAACAAACAGCTCAGTACTTCTGTACTATGTTTCTGAGTATATGAAATGTGGCCAGCATTTAGATATCAATTTGAAAGCAGATGAGGTTTGTCCTCTCACACTATGTGCTGGGATGTTTTGCTTAACAGTTACATGTCTCTGTTTCAGATTTCCAAGCTGTATTCTACCTTACATGATGATGTAAGTGTAATTTATTGACTGGAACTATCATCTGTTATAGACTACTGCAATATTTCACTCACCATGAAAGCAGAGGCCAGTAACAGCTGTAGACAGGCCACAACCGACAGCATCCTGATGGCTCAAAGTCAATCCTGACTGGATACAACACACAGCACACATGCTTAAACCACAAAAACCTGTGCCACACAATATTAAGTGTCCAGATGACAAGTGGACAATATACCTGTTTTCTCCCAATTCAATGTTCACACACCCAACGTCCGTCCTGCAACAGACAAAGGTGTGTGTGTTAGTTTTCTGTTCATTTGGAAAAGCCCTGAAGCTGTGCATGCTCAAACAGACAAGATACATCACCTCGGCTCAAAACATGAATTATGGAAAGAAAAAAAAACCATTAGATTGGCAACGCAGGAACGCAAGCCAAACAGCCCCCGGAACGCGCTATTTGAGATTTAACATTTGCAATCGTCGCCATGCAAATCAAAACTGTCTTTAGATTTTCATTTATTTAGTACCCCAATGACCCACAGCCCTAAACTGTCATAAAACAAGCATGAAGTCAGAGATATTTGCTGAGGAAAAACAAAACTGTGCATCAGACACTAACCAACACAACACCAAACTTTCAAGTCATTCAGAACACAAAACAATCTGCATCAGAAACAGCTGTAATCAATATGTGCTCTAAACTGCCCCAAACATATTTGATATCCTCTGACTATATTAATTCATAGTCTGAAGCTAAAAATAAAACACTGCACTTTCTGTGAAACTTCAGACTTCAGAATACCTTTCCAATTCAAATTCAAATTCTGATTTTGAAGTGAAAAATAATTGAAATAGCAAACGGGATGCAGTTTTGATGGATGGATGCATTGTTTTGACTGACCTGAAACAGTTGAACATTGAACATCAGATTTATTCGGATATAACAAAGCCTTAGGTCCCAATCATCTTGTTGCACATAGGAGCACTTGCATGACTGCCATACAACATTTCTGAAAATGCCAGAATTTTAGAAGCTACGATTTAGTGCCATTACAATTAATTGGTGCTCACCAAGTGCAAAAACCACCGATTTCGCAAGAGCAACCCTTAAAATCGGTCTCAGGTGGCCATATGAAATTCAGCAAAATGAATGATTATTTAGTCCTCAGTTGTGTGACTGCTGAATTTCTTCGAATTGAAATTCAATCGATTCCTCTTCCCATCATCCCAATTCAAATCCCAACTCATCATCCTGTGTTCACTTCCAATCCACATTCATGAATCAAAAGCAGTCATTTCTGAATTTCTGAATTTGCCTGAGGTTGCAGTGAACTGAGGTTTGTTTGGAGTGCCAGTGCTGTATGTGTGGCACTATTGTTTGAAGCAAATTACCGTAACTGTGATTTGGGGCGGCCAACGGTGAAAGCGCTTCAGCTCAGTGATGCCAGTATACACTAGACTTCTGGGTAGTCAAGCAACACTCTCAGAAATCATGTTCAAACAGTCTGAAACAAGCTACGAAAGATCTTTAATATAGTAAATGGCTGCTTTGCTGCCAGTCTGAGCATGCTGCCACCTGCCAACGCCGCTGCAATCCTGCTTTTCTGAACTGCAGGAGAACCTATAGGTGCTGTTTCAGATTTTGTTCAGATGTGAAATACATGCCATACCTTTCATAAATTCATAGACATTTAATGTGATGTAAACTTTACTTGTATATGTAATCTCTCCCATTAAAACACACCGGACAGTCGTCAAAATGGACATACAGCCAAAATATACTACAACCAAAAGACTAAAAATTTAACAAGAAAGCAGCTTTGCTATCTAAAACTAAACAGCATGTTGTTAATTAGGCCTAAATAATGTTGACTGAGAGACTATAGGTAATATTTGTACTTTTGAAAATTCATTTCACACCACCTTACATAAAATGTGACAAGAAATGTTGATAAAGCATATTTTAAACTTATGAACTTGCTTTGTTTCAGTAACATCAAATACTGTCTGACTGTTTAGTTTCAGTTCAGTGTTTCTAAGTTTTTTGTAAAAACAAAACAAACAAAAAAATTATGTAAAAATGACATCCAACGGCATACATTCAGATAATACACTCTTTCTAACCAATCATCCAGCCAGAGTAAAACTAGGATCCCCACATCAATCCCCAACAGACATCGATGAAACTATCTCTCAGCACATACTCTGATGAACTGCTCGTGTTTCAGCGAGAACCTCACAAACTGTTTTATTTTTCCTCACACAGAAACACATTGAAAGAGGAAGTGAACAATATCTCGTAAACATATAACTCACTTTGACTTGTTCCGGATGTCGAAAGAAAGCAGAGTTGATGATTGCCTCTCAAGCTGATGATCTGCTCTCTGAACTCTCTGTGTCTCTCTGAGGAGCGTGAGGGAAGAGTGCTGTTAAATGTCCACAGTGCGTCACACACACACACACACTCTCTCTCTCACACACACACACACTCTCAAACACACACTCTCTCTTACACACACACACACACACACACTCTCTCTCTCTCTCTCACACACACACACACACTCTCTCAAACACACTCTCACACACACACACACTCTCTCTCTCTCTCTCTCTCACACACACACACACACACACTCTCAAAC